GAGCTACCGCTGTTTGTAGAGAGACGACTTTACTTTTCAATCCAATACGCATTTGCAAACATTTAATCCTAGCTCTTTTAGAACGCCTGAAATTGATAGTGTAACTTCAAATTATTTCAAATGATCGGGGAGGACTCATTTTGGTTAAAGATGCTTTGATGGCTGGAAGTTATTTTTAGGCCTACTTTAATCGGGTAATATGTTAGTCTTAAGGCTATCCGAAGCATTGCTGAGCATTTGGATAATGGAAACTTAACATGGTTAAAAATCATGTTGAAGCAGTGTGCTTAATAGTATGGCTAATCAATATCACAATGTCTTCCATAGAACCTTGAGAAAATCTACGCTTTCGCAGTTTTTACAGTTTTTGAGACCAATCTTCTTTTTATTTTTTATTTTTTTAGTGAGAGTTGTATTGGCGTCTATAGTATACGCCGCATGAGTTTCTGCTTGAAATATTTGAGCAGTGCAGACATTAGTCGATCGTATACCGAAATTTGTTTTATTTGTGTGCAGTAAAAACTTCGCTCTTATCTACTTCCTCAAACCTAAAGGTAAACATTATGAGATCTCTATTTCTTTATGGATGAACCAAAAACTAAAACAGATGTTGTTACAACATAAAAATTTATATTTATTTTTTATTCATGAGGCGCAAACCGCCAGTAACATAAACAACACGGAAACGCTTGTCGCGGCCAACATAACCCTTACCACTGGTCATATGAAGTGTTGGACACACCCAACAAATTCCAATGATGCTGTCCAATAAAACATGTAAATAACTGAAACTGGGTACAATATTGAAAAAATGAAAATAAAACAGTGGAATACCAAGTACAAGTAGAAATAGAAAATGGTTGATAAATAAATTGAAGTCCCGGCTTAGAAGCAGAGGCCAAGTGGAAAGGATAATGAACTCTGTGAAAAATTTAAATTCCAAAACGATTAATAAACAACAAGGCACCTCGAAAAGTAATAATAAACAAGGAGGTGCGGTTGAACTGCAGCAAGGATAGTGGATGAAAATAAATGAATTCATTAGGGAAAACCGAAACATGTCCGAAGTGGGCAGGCAGCCGACCAATTTACAAGCGCTCTACCCCAAGCGCTACACCAGCACTGCACACTGCAGCAATTTGACCAACTGTCGCTAGCCAAACACACGATCGGCACACGATGCCACGCATGGTATGCGCTGAGCCGCAATCGCCAACAGTACGCTACGTTGTTAGACGACTGCTCGCTCGCAACACTTACCGACTCGCTTACTTGTGGGCCGTGGCGTGTTAATTGCGCGGCATATCCTTATCGTCGGATCAGGCACATATACGCTAATAACCTCATCTCTGTCGGCATACTGCTGCACTCCACATTTGATTATTGGTGACTGGCGTGTAGTGACCATATGGCGCGTTTCACCTTGCCTCACTTGTGGCATATCCTGCGAGAAGATGAATCTATTTGTGCATCCATTTAATTTAATTCTGACCAAAGGTTGAGCGCACACCAGCGGCTCATTCATTTATCGACACACTCAAGCACCTGATGGTCAAATGCTATCGTCGTTATCCGTACTGACTTACAACCTTTTTTTCGAGGTTTACATTGCTGCATTGCTTCGTGTGGCGTGATCCTTGTTGAAAATTTACGGTTTCACTTTCAACGCGGAAATCAGAACAGGTAATTTACAGGTAGTGCCATACATACATACCTGATAGCCTGTTGTCGCTGCCACTCACCGTATGTTGTGCGCAGGATAATAAATAAACGCCGCGTCGTTTCCCTTTCGCTTCTCTTGCGCCTCCAACTCTCGAAATTAATTGCCGCTAACGTTAATTGCTTAAATGCGCCGCTTTGCCTTCTTCATCAAAGTAATAATTATATGGTTGCTGCTGCTTCTTCTACGCTGTATTTTCCTTTTCTGGCAGCTCGGTTGCTTTAACGATCTGTTAGTTTATATAGCGAGCTCTGACACTTCTGTGCACTTTTTACATGCGTTTGTCTGCGAGTTGGCTCCCAGTTTCTTTGCTTGGCATTCGTTATGCGTCTGTTATCCTTTTTTTTTTCTTAGAACATACGTTGAATTTGTTGTTGTAGTTCTTTGGATGCAGTGTTTTATTTGTGGTTGTGCGCCTTTTGGCACATCATAAAATTGAAGGCAATCAAAATTCATTCGCTCATCTGTTACGCGCGGGCGTCTTCTGGCCGCTTGCTGTCTTGTTCTTTACGCAAAGTGTTTGCCTACTTCGTCGGAGTATTTTTTTTTTTTAACTGAGTAGTTCTTGTACGCGCCACACTTCTGACGTCTGCCACTTTTAATGTAAGATACTCTTGGTAATTGCTTACGTTTTTTCTTGTGTTTTAGTCCTTTTCCTGCTTTCGATTCCTGAATCTAGTCGCAGTTTGAAGGCAACATTTGCTTTAGTGAGCCGATATCTGCAGTCCGATAAATGCACAGCTTTTTGGGGATAAAATGAAGTGTGTATAATCGAGTCACATCGATATCTCAAAAGCTGAGGGACTAGTTCATGTATATACATACAGACAGAAGGACATGGCTTAATCGACTCAGCTCGTCACGCTTTATTTATATACATACATATATATTTTATGGGGACTCCGAGGTTCCCTTCTGGGTGTTATAATGTTCGTGACAAACTTAATATATTCTCTTCACCCAGTTTTACCTCAAAAGAATTTGGATCTTTTTTGTTTGTAGGATTTTGTGAAAATTGGTTCAGAAGAAATTCAGAGGTTCCCATTTTTAAATACAGTAGCTAATTTGGGCAACGGATCACTTTAAAATTTATGATATTTTAATTTTTATTATAGTCGCACTAAGTCCTCCAATATATGTTTTTTACTTTTACTAATTTCAGTTTTAATTCTTCTAACTACTTTGCATTTGTAATTAGTTCAATTTGAATCTTTTCCTTTGCCTCTCTAGACGTCCAGTTGCCCTGGTCTGTTCGCTATGACTTGTCGTTATTAATGGATCCAGCGAAAGTAGAGGCGTTGCCTTTAGTTGCTTGCCGACTGACGCTTGTGCTCATTGCTGTCTAAGCGGTTCTAAGCTAAGTTGCTATGTTAGTAATTACGATTTTTATTCTAACTTTAGTTAATTTGTTAAATCAGACATTTAACCCTGAAAAAGTGCATTTAAGTGTATAAATTTAAATAAAAGTAATGCTAAGTGATTATTTATCGGCGCAAAGCTTTAATTTAAGTAGAAAAACTTCAATAACAAGTTTACAATTGAGTTTACTTGCATATTAAGCTGCATCAGGTGAAGGCTAAGGAGGCATACCAACTTACACAGGGAGCTTTAAATTGTCTTTAAACAGCATAACAATTTCAGTCTCGTCCATTTGCCCGAAGTTTACTGAGCAAACATGCAATACATCTCTTTAAGAACATGTTAGTTAAGGCCGTTGACCTTCTTGAAAAAACAAGTTTCTGGTATTGTCCAAATTTTCCATCGGGTAACTGTACTGGAGACCAATATTTTGGAGAAGGGAGAGCAAATATTAGGGAAAACTGAAAACACTGCGGCAACTATACGAAAAATTATTTCTTTTATCGGATTTCCTTGCAGAATTCGAAGCAAGAAGTTCCAGCATTCAGCCATCTATATTCTGGAATGCCTAACCTTTCTCCTGTCATTGAAACTCAATATTGGCGGGAGTGTAATTTAGCTGATTTTGAAAATATTCTCTACCGTTATGCGGTAATAATAAATTTAAGTTTCTTATGGTAAACATCGAGGTATTTTTGCTTTATTCTCGAAAGTAAAAATTTATGCATTCAGCGAAGTCAAATTATTAAGCATTATTTTTCGTTAAATATTGGTTAGACAAACAGCGACATCTGTTGGTCGCGGTAGTCAGCCAAGTGCCTTCAAAAGCTCGCTCCATAACAAGTGGCGACTAAATAGGTATTTTTTAGTAAGATCTAAATTTTGGAACTCGAAGATGGCCTAAACTTGTTTTAGTTGACCTTTTAAGTATTCTGCGCTACCAGAAAGTCTGTAAAGTCTCTAAATATAAGTCAATTGGAACCGAGCTCTGTATGGATACAGATCCACGTCACAAGTTGTTTTAAGAGCACCTAAGCTACCATTTAAACCGCTTGAAATAAATATATGAGCTCAAAGCGTCTATAAATACACCAATTGCCACAACTTACGCGAAGTAACTCCCTACTGCGCACGAGTGCTTGGTAAAATCAGTGCCGCTGCAGCAAAAACCAATAGAACTAATTAATAAATAATGAAATTTACATATGTTGAGAGCATTTAGCGGTTGGCACGAAAACGATTAGTCAAGTTGAATATATTGTGCAACCCGCTAACTAAATCAAATGAATTTTGTGCACCTTTGTGACACATTCGGAGCAAGGCAATTTGTGACTGCGGAGAGGAAGCGGGTTAGTGTACAGGGTATGAAGAAAAAACGTAAATAAATGGCTCCTAACTCATTTGATGCGGTCTCGCAGAGGCTAATAAGCATTAAGTACAACTTTAAGTGCGCTTTGTAGAATTAAGTTGAAAATTATTGTTGGGGCGAAAAGAAAACACCTACACAAGTAGGTAATTTGCATGCGAGCGCGATAAACACCGAAAAGCGGGCGGATATGTTGATGCAGCACATAAAAAAAATATATATGCAAATATTTAGATATATATGCATAAATATAGGTATAAACGACATATGTATATATCTCTAATTATTTGTTTTTGTTGACCATTTATTACATTTTTTTTCTCCTTTTTTCACTTTTATTTAATTTTTCTACACTTTGACTGCTGGTGGCGCCAAATGTGGGTTCGGTTATGCTGCAAAGCTGCGCATGCGTCTTAAATTTTTACATTCGCTGCATGTATATGCGAATTTGTATGTGTGCATAAATATGTTTATACAATTCTAACTATGCTCTTTGCTTCGGCTGTGTGGTGCAGATGTTTTTCTATATACATATATATTTTTTTGTGCTTTCAGCTTGCGACTGCCACGGGATTTCTCAATTAAAATTCAAATTGATGCAAACAAGTGGCCAAGCCCAACTTGCAACTACAATAGAAACAACAATTTCAAGTAATAAATGATTGTTGTATCATTTCGCGTTAAATTATATTAAGTTTGGTAGCCGCAGCGGTTAAGTCAAGCAAAGCGAATTCGCATGTGGCGGTATGTGTTTAATTTAAAGCAATAATAGTAAGTAAAAGCAATTTTTTAAATAATACAAATTATAATTATATCATAGTTCAAACAGTTTACTTGTTAAGCCTTTTCTGAAAATGTTTTTTTAATTTGAAAATTAAAATTTCGAAAATTTTCAAAATTTGGAATTAACTTTTTCGAAGATTGTGGTAGTTAAATAGTAATTTTTATAATTATTTCAACCAATTTATATTTTCGAAACCAATATACTTTAATAAACCAATTTTGGCTTTAGCACAAAGAATAAGATAATATTGCGAAACATAAATTTGGAAACCTTCAATCGCATTTTTCGAAATTCTATTTCGGATACCAGTACTAATTTTCATATTGCTCATATCTTTATAAAATATCTCATATATATATTATATGGATGCTGTAGCGTCAGGAAAGATTAGCTAAAATATGTTGAGAATGACAACTATTTTGTAAATTCATAAGTCTTGGTCCAAGCGAAGAAGTTCCACAAAATATAGTTATGAAAATCAGTACAATCGTAAATCGGGATTTAGATGAACTCTTACATTGATTTTCCGTTTCAGTTCCATAGCATGATGGGTCCATGTTAAAAAAGTGCCAATTTCAGCCATTTTCATATGGAAGTTGCTTAGTTCTCAGATTAATATTATAAAATGTTGATAAATAATAAACTTAGTGTGCAGCTGCTCTTTGCGGTATGAGGAAAGAGGAACTTTTTAACCAAAATAGTGTTTTCAAAATTTTACGCTAATTGTTAACACACACATATTTGGAGGTTATGTTTGGAAAAAGTTTTGTAAATTGTAGATTTTTGTTTAACGAAATTATGTCAAATTCTATTATTGCACTAAAGTATATTTTGCCCGCCGGTTTAATTACACATATTTATTATTCAAATTATTTTCTATGATTTTATTTAATTTTTCAAACAATAATTATATGTAATTTCCGCTGTCGACGTGCAACAATTAGACAGAACTGTGATAGTATCTGCGCAAAAACCTCAAAACCTGTGGCACATACATACATTACAACAAAAACTGTGTTTCTAATGAAAAAAAAAGTAAATAAACGGCAAAAGCCCCTCAATAATCGTACACTTGAAAGTCATAACAGCTGCAGCCGGCCATGCAACCAAAAGCCACCAAGTCACCCAGTCACCCAGCCATAAGCGCTGGTGGTGGCGCTTACGCATGCGCGCCACCTCAACTTTGCTTATCAGTGAATCACAACAGTGTGGCAGCCAGGCGCACCGGCGTTTGCACGCCGCCGCCTGATTGGCTAGCTGGCTGTGCGAGCGCGTTTTATTTTAGCTGACGGCTTTTCGCGCTGAATCAGCATTATTTTATCAGCGAAACGCTGACGTTGGCGCTGGCGGATAAATTAATTACAATCATCGAAAAGCAAGAAAGGCGAAGTGTGGCGCCTTTAGGCGGGCGTGCGGTACGCTCGGTAGAGGGTGCGCACAACAAGTGTTGCTGCAATACAAAGGTGCCAAAATGTTGCACAAATATGGCACATAAATGTATATATACGTTATGTCTAATGCTCAACTGATTTGCAAATATAACGAGTAAACGGTGAATATGAAAAAATAATATGAATTGTAAAACACGGCGCTGCATTGAAGAAAAAATAATGAAACAATTTCTTAAACTTATTTTTGTGGCATAAAGTCCAGAATTTGACCAAAATGTCGCGTAAAAAGTTTGAAAACTGACAATAAATTCACGCGTTGCAATAATTTAGCACGTGCTGTTTGTTGTCTCAGCCTAACTATAGCTATTGTTGTTGTTGCACAGTTTCTTGTTTCTGCTTTTGTCGCCTGTTGCCTGCCGCCATTTGTAATTTACACGAATTTCAACAGATTTACTGCATGCATTGCTTACTCAAACAACAGCTGCTTAGCGGTAAATGCACTGTGGCATTGTGGGTCATAAGTTAAGTACGATTTTTGAAAATAGTCCTAAAACACTATTTTCGAAAATTTGGATAGAAATTCTGAAAAAGCCAAGAAAGTATGCCGACTGAACTTTTTAAAGACGGAATGACGGATGTTGTATGCTGATGACTTCTGATTCACTGAACCGATCACATTTTAGAGATATTGATTTCATGAGCTTCGATAGCCTTCCTACAGCCTTCGTAGACAAATGGGAATACCGCTCTAACTGTAGACCTTAAAGCGATGGTTTCAAATTGGGATTTGCTAAGTTTTTGAAGAAAGTACCGCCTACTTAAGTAGTTTGAATTTTCTTCTTATAAGGGAACTGATAACCAGTATTTAATTACTATCGATTTCGGGTAGCTTTTGTCCAATTTATTTGATAAACTTAACGCATTCTTTTTCTGCGTCTGACCGATACCACAGTTATTTGACGTCTCCGTCAAAGAAGGCTCTACTACCATTACTCCATGCAATAAGTCCAGTCACCTTAAAATATATAATCGATCTCTCTATTATAATATATCAGGAACTTTCCGAGCTTTCATTTCCAAAATACCCATAGAAATAAAGCTCGTGGCACCTTTACCAGACCGTAAAAGTATATGTATAAATAATCAGATCGGAACACTATTTGGTCTATGCACTCTACACTGTACAGATTTAATTATATACATATATATTTGCTCAAAGAAATACACCTATGAAGGGTATTATAGCTTCGGGAAAGTTTTTTCTTATTTCATATTTTTTTCTGTGAGTCAATAATTAAGTAATCATTAAATACGCAATGCGCATAATAAACAGTTTTAGTGCATGTATGTATGTAATTTTCCCAGCAAAAAGTCAACTGATAATACTCACGTAATTGATATCTCAGAAAATGCGCGATGTGAAGTTATCTATTTGTAAAACCCATAAAGCGTTTGCGCATGCGCATAATAGTCGGTGTTAATAGTGGATAATAAAAATGATATGAGTACAACTAATGTAGCCATGCTTGCAAACCCACATACAAACATATTTATATGTGGATGCCAGTTAAATTGCATGCAACTTGAGCTTAGCTGGACCGACATACAACACACAGCGGACTCACAGACATACACGTCTTTAAAAGCTCACGTTACACCATTTGCTGCTGTGGCATGTTGACTGTTGGTTGTGGTTGCTTGTGTTGCAGAGCACAGTTGCATAGGTCGGTAATTCAAGTCACGTTCGGACAATCGGAGTAATCGCGATATGCGAACAGCTTTAATTGAGATTAAATTCATAATTACGAGTCTCGGCGACACTTTTATGTGTGCTTTAATTAAAACGCGCAAATGCTCGTATATCTAGCGAGGAAACTCGCCAACCGCAAACACCACCACCACCACTAGCACCGTTAACAGCGGCAACAACAACACCGCGCTTGGACTGATAGCCAAAATGACTGATCTGCGGGCGAAAATGGTTCAATCGAACGCGGCGCGCAGCTTAACACTTGAATCGCCCCCAAAAACGAACGCCTGCCGCAATGGCCATATGTAATTGAAACTGATGTTTATAATTTACTTATGCGCCTGCGCGTACGTGCCGCATGCCGCACAGTGTTGGTCGAAACGGCGTGCGCATGTGACGCGCTGCTTGGTCCGCCCGGCCGTTTGACGCAGCGATTTTCTGCTCTGTGATTTGGCGATGCAAATCAAGCGTAATCGCATAAATTTCTGACTTTAGCTCTGAGCAGCTTGCAACACGGTTGTCGACACGACAATAAAGTGGCGTTTAAGCTGCACTTTGTGGCACTGCGTCGTCGTCGTCTTGAACGCCGGCTGGGTGGTGTGGCAGCAATTAGGCAAATACTTTTGCTCTTTCTCGCTTATGCTATTGTTGCCATTGTTGTTGTGGTCTCTTGTAGCGCGTGTGATTTGAGTGATTTCATTGTAATTGCAATTAATGTGATTAAATCGGCTAAATGACTTATTTTTCGGTGCAATTGCCGAGCAGTTGGCCAGGCAGCGAGCAGCGTTTCGCATTCATTTCTGTTGAAGTGGGTTGGTTGTCGGTCCGCATTGTTGCAAATTACTAAATTTTAAAGCTTTTGCAAGTGTGGACATTTTTTCGATTTGCAAAGGGGTTTTGTATTTAGTTTTATTTTGAGGTTTGAAGAGAGTTTGGTGTAAAATCATTTCAAAAAAAGAAGAATGCTGTGGAGATATGACAAAGTTGGTGGAAAGTCAGTTGAAGATGGACTTGGTTGAAGTTATTTTTAGATTTCGTTAGGTCAGTTTGTGTGGCCGCTATATGCTATATAATGTTTACGGTATTTATTAAACTCTATTATTACCCCTATTTTTACATAACTATATTTTCTGAAAAAACTCCTCAGATCACAAAGAAACCAACTACCCTTTGCTGATCTATAGGGAAAACGATATCAACACTTAAAATGATCTCTATACTACTTATTATTAAGTAAGCCGGTTCCACTTGAAAAAATCGTGCAAAGTGCCGGAAATTCTTAAATTAAATCATCTTAATTTCTTTATTGCTCAAAATCTTTCTGAAGGTGCATTAATAACGTTTTCCTCCAAGCGTAAATGCCTTTCCTCAAAATCAAATGTAAGTCACATAAAATTAATGCATGACAATAAATGTCTCGCTAACAGAAATTACAACAACCATAATGCTAAAAGTATGTAGATACGAGGGAAGTTTGATTCATCGCTTACTTTTCGAATTTTGTATGATAATTTGGATATGAAAACTTCATTTGTGATATATACTTATCTAACAACTACTTTGGCTATCCGTAGACTAAATAACTTATTGAAATAGTTAATGTTCGATTTTCGCTGGCCAAGCGTGCACAGAAGAAATTGCGTTAATTTAACCCAAAACTCGTATATAAGTATATATGCAGTCGAACTCTTATTCAATGGTATCAGGTGGACCATTGAGAATTCTCGTCTACAGCTGTGATATAGTAAAAGGTTAAAATGTTTCGTAAAGCTTCCTAATGAGGCTCAAAAAGAAAAACGCTAGAATTACTCAGTCTAACCAAGCTAGAAGTCTAAACTCTGATCTG